CGATAGAGTGACAGCCCGAAACGTCAGGCTAATTAGATTCTTGCTCAAGTGATCTTATCTTCTTACGAGCAGATTAAACTAGTCCTTCATGGCTCACCCCTGGCGTGTAATATGGTATAATGGAGCTACCAGAGATTTGTTTATCACTATGTTCAATACACGATAGGTTGAAAGTCGCAAACGACGATGCCCATCGTGGATCCCACAGAATGCTGGGCTGAGGAGCTAAACAGTTCACATCACCTGGTTCATATTACGCGTATCGTGCTTTCTTTAGGACGGCTGCGATCTCACACACACACACACATGTGTGTGTGAGTTTGTCATAGAAGCTGCATTCAGAAAGAGCGGTCAAAAAGGGATCTTCGTCCTGAGAGGAGGACCGACTTACCCCGTTAGTTAGCAACCCTCCAATGCTACGACTTTTGACGCCTCCAGGTGGATTTTAGCACGTCAGACTCATTTTAGCGAGGAATGGGCAAAAGTGCGTAAGGATGGGCTCCCCGAGAGTCGACCTTACTATTCTTTCTCGCATGCACCCCTCCACTGTCCGAGCCTGTCTGCCATCCGGCGCTGTGATTGGGCGCAGCGGCTGGCGCAGCCTGCGCCTAGACCTGTCATCACACCTCAATGAACCCGCGTGGACACTGCGCAACCGAATTAACACGCCTCGTGAGCCAAACTGACCCTCGTTTTGGGCCGACGCGTTTCAGGGGGGGAGGTGGCAAGCAAGCCAGACAGTCTTACCAGGTTATGGCACACAGAGCCAAGAAGTAAGGCGGTTTTTGTGCCGGAAAACATTGTCATTCGCACAGCCACAGTAAGTTGACTGCACAAGCAGGATTTCCTAAGTAATTCACCTAGAATCCACCAGAGGGAACCCTGCTTGGGCAGTCAACTTACTGTATCAGATTTGGTGGATTCCAGACGTTGCAGTAGGTTAGGCGGGTAAGTTGATCCAAATGTGATTAAACTCGCGTCGTCCGGCGGGGCCCTCGTAGCTCAAGTGGTTAGAGCGTCGACTGTACTAAAGCCTTCGCCTTACTGCGTGGGTTCGCATCCCACCGGGGCGCCGAGTTTTTCACAATTGGGTCAATATGAATTATACAAAATCCATAATGATTTCTCCGGCTTACACATGCTATGTTTGTGATTAAAACAGGTGAATTTTACGTACCCTGGAAACCTAATGTCTGCCATCCGGCGCAGTGATTGGGCGCAGCGACTGGCGCGGCCTGAAGCCTACGCCTAGGCCTGTCACCACACCTAAATAGGCAACCGTAGTTATGGGCCCTCGTGGACACTGCGCAACCGGATTAACACGCCTAGTGAGCCAAACCGACACTCGTTTGGGCCGACGCGTTTCAGGGGGGGAGGTGGCAAGCAAGCCAAACAGTCTTTCCAGCTTATGGCACACAGAGCCAAGAGGTAAGGCGGTTTTTGTGCTGGAAAACATCGTCTTTCGCAAATCCACAGCCGGCAAAAGGCCTGACCGACAACTGCACCCTAACCTCTTTTGGCTGGCGGAAGGGAGTTTACTCTCCCACATTCGTAACGTCATTGTCAAGGTAACATGACCGCTAAGTAGGTTAGTAGCTTAAAGCAGGCATGTCAGCCTAGCGAAATTCCCAGCACTATTTCGGCGACAGAATTGCCTGTTTTGCGACGAAGAACTCTTGTCGGGTAAATTACCTTTTGCTTATCTGAATGGTATACTTTCTTTTCGGCGTTAACTCTCTCTCTCTGTCTCTCCCTAGCTTCTTGCGGACGACAATCGGTTCCTCTTTTGCTACCTCCTTCCCACGGTCTACAGTGTGGTAAGTTGCAGTTTCTGTCTGTCTCCAGTTCTTCAAAGACCCCCCCCCCCCTAACTCAGTCATATACAACTCTCTCACTCTCTCTTTTTGACGATGCTACGTCTAGTTCGCCCACGAGTTGACCAACAATACGGACTTCATCCGTCTCGTAGTGAGCAAAATCGACCCCGGCCAGGCGAACTACCTCGTCTGCGAGATACTGCGTGGCCACCTCAACTTCTTCCATCGCTCCAACATAACTGAAGTGCTGAGTACGTTTTGTTTTTTGGCACCTTTGTGTGTGTGCTTACGTGGCTTTGTGTGTTTTTGTGCTGTTTCCTACACGACAGTCCGACCGATGATGCCCACCGTGT